TTAAAACTAATACCAAGATCCATTACAAGCACGTAGAGAAATTAGTAAAATCTGCTGGTATAATATAGATTTGCACAGCTGAGTGGTAGCCATGTAGAGGCGATAGACGCTGATTCGAGTTCAGTGGGATCGATCTATCTTTGTTCCAATAATAACAAACTAGTGGAGTATTTTCACAATATCATGGTACGCAAAAAATAAAAAAAATAAATGTTCGGTGAATATCATTACCTTTTAAACCACCATGATTCAATAATGATAATCTTAATTTTTTTACGAAAAGAAAACCGACCTCAGAAGTATAATTACGTCTATTTGCCAAGTTTTATTGAAATCGGTTAGCGGAAAGTGGGTGGAATTGAATAAACCTGATCCATCCCTTCATTTGCCGCCCATAAAGGTGGAATATTTTCTTCTAAAATTTGAGTGGGACCAGGAACAAAAAAGAATCATCGAAATCTATTACAAATATTGGAGTAATCACGTAACATATACAAAAAATACAGTCAAATTGAGAAGCCCTCCTTTTTTGAAGTCGATTAAAAACAATATCATAAGCAGCATTTTTTTTTTTTCATTTAATAAATGTAATTAATTACAGTCAAAAGAAGTAATTAATCCAAGTGTGCTCTCTCTAACGTTGCAGTGCCCCAAAAGGGTATTACTTACATGTATAAAGCTCAAAATTATGTATCTAGATTTAAGACAACCTTGTGGCAATTCAATAAATATATATACATATTTCTAGACTCTTAATTGGCATGTAATGAAAATTGTAAATAAATAAATTCCGATTTAACATAATGACACAGTTACAATTGATGCAAACTCTACATAGACTGTCCAACGGCTACTGCCTTCCTTTTGTAGTTAATAGGTTAATTCGTGCAACTGTTGCAAAGTGAATAGTAGAGATGCCACATATATTCAACTGCTATTCGGTATTCAGTTTTTAGGCAACCTTTTTGATATTTGAAATTTGGCTGAATAATACAAAATGTGATGAAAAAAACCATGCAAATCTATTTTATTATAACATGTTTTTTTTTGTAAAATATAAGTGCGCATGTGACCTCCATCTCACCTAATGGAAAGTGGCAATCAGGTCAACGATGTAGCATGCACACCTAAATAATGTCTATTCACTCTCGCCTTGAAAAGGCACAAGTTATATTCCCAAAAAGTAGATTTTTTATCAAATGGTGCCGTTTCCTGAAGCTTTGCTTTAACTTTGTTTTAACTGCCTCTGTGGCCGAACGGTTACCATGCCGGACAGGACTGCAAAGGTTCCAGGTTCGATTCCCGGGCCGGGAGAAATATTTGTATGGCCTGCATTTATTTCTCTCGCCTGGTATAAGCGACACGCCTATCCATAGCAGTTGCAATGCTATTCAGAGCTTCAAATCGCAAAGATCTGTGATGCACCTTGAAATATAAGTTGACAATCCCAACGTTAGAGAGACGGTTACAAACATTGTAGTTAGAAACGAAAAATTGACCTTGTGGATACAGTTGTACTTCTAGGTATAACGTTAGATGCTAAATTGCAATGCGGTCCACATATAAGTAAGTTATTAAAACGACTCAGCTGTGCAGTGTACGCGATTAAAAAAATACGGAAACTTTCAGACGTCGAAACCGCTAGATTTGTGTACTTCAGCTACTTTCGCAGTCTAATGACATACGGCATTTGCTTCGGGGCAATACGGCCGATATCAACAAAATCTTTGTCATGCAGAAACATGCAGTTAGGCCAATTTACATCCTGGGCCCCAGAGTATCTTTGAGATATAAGTTGAAGGAAATTAACATTTTTACACTAGCGTCACAGTTAAGAAGAATAGTAATTTCTTTATGAAAAATAGTGACAAACATAACGTTAATACGAGGAATAAAAATAAACCAGCTGTTCTTTATAGTCGTCTTCACAAAGTCACAATTTCATTTAACGAGTAACGTATACGCTTCTATAACAAGACTCCGGTTGATATACAAAATTTACCATTCACGAGGATTAAAACTATACTGAAAAAAAAACTTTATACAAAGGTAACCCGTTTAGGTCATGAAGGTAGTGATGTTTGAAAACAAAATACTCTCAGACACATAATTCGAACCACCTTGCATTGTCAATATTAAATGCTTAGCTTAAACAATGCTTGTTTGCTCAAAAATGCTATTTTGCAACTTTGAAACTGGTATACTAAACTGCATTTCCTGAAGTCCTTATTGAAAATTTGAATTTAAAAACTGGAGAAAACTTTTTCTTCGATGATAACTAAACTCGGGAGTATACATATATACATATATTGTAAACGTTGAATATGTACTTACAAATGTTATTTACCAAGAGCAACCCCCAGAGATTCTTGCTCATTCTTTCCAGAGCAATCTGCCTTACGAATGAGCGGTAGAGTTTAACCAATATGATGATTTCAAGTATCATTATTATACATGAAATATCATTATTATACTTACCTATGAAATAAAGATTATTTTGATTTCATATGCTTGTAATTACACCAGCACCCTTACATTTCTAAACCGGATCGCAATAATGTTCACATTGCAGCTTGGCGGCTGATATGGGTAAGGTGCCAATACTTCCCTGGCCGAACTTTTTCACAAGGAGTTATTTCTGTAACAATAATTCATTTATTTTTTAGGTTGGACCCAAAGTGTTAGTTGCAATTTGACTTAATAATATACACTATAGGTCGATAATTACAGGGGTTGGCACCACTGCCTTTTTACACGACATTTGGACACGCATTGCGCTTGCACATTTGCAATGCACTGTTTTCATCTTGCATGCTGTGGCATACCATCAGGCCCACAAGCTTTGCCCACATCTAGATTCCGCAGAGCTCTACAAACCTCTTTTGTGTGGATTATTACCTCCGTCATTGAAGGGTCACATTGGGCTAAAATTGTTTCAAGCCTGCATCCAGATGTGTGTGTTGCTCGCAAACATTGAAGCAAACACATTTTTACTGCGGAGTGAGCCAGTGTTCCAAGAACGATCGTCAAGAACCGAACAGATCTATAGACACGTATTGGTCGTCAATCTATATGGAGCAACAATAACGGACGACAAAATTCAAACACATTTGTAGACACCTTTGACGACCGATCGATCGACGAGGCCCCTGCGACCATCTCCACATACGTGACCCCTTTTTGACGCATTTAATAACGCCCTATCTCTTTGCTAAAATCCGCCAGGGGCCAATTAAAGCAGCCCTCCAGGGAAAACAAGGGCAAGAATATGTAAAGATCATACTACTCCATCTACTCACTAACTGCCGTACCTGATGTTTTTGTCGTACTGAGTAAAACGCGCGGTCTTACTTAAGCAAACATTTTCCTTTAATAGTCGTATATATGTATACCTTTTATACTGCTCGTAAGATGTGAAAATTCGAATAAAAATATGAAAGCAAAAAATATAAAAATATATAAATGTATATTGCCATGAAAACACTTCCTTAGATATAGTTAAGATAATAGATATCTATTAGAGACGCTTTTACACACACTATACATGTTTTTCACAGTTTAACATTCATGAAATCAAAGTTTAATGTATAAAAAAAAACCTTCGCAAGTATTTCGCACCACTCGAAACAGTATTACTAGGACATTAAAACAAATGAACGAAAAAAATGAGAGCCGACAAACGTTTTGTTTTCACTAATTTGAAAATAAAAAATTTAACGTAAACTAAAATAACCGGCCAGTCTTTTGAAAGAAACACTGCATTATTTTGAGTATATGCCTGGTGCTCGCGATTAATTTCGATTAATCGCTGTATATTTGTTTAGACCTACCAGTAGTCCGAAGTGACATAATCCAGAAATAACGTTTGCTCGAATTTTCATAACCTCGAAAGTAATTTTAAGAGGAAAATGTTTTTTTTAAACCTAACTTAACCTAACCTAACTTAACCTAATCGTGTCTTTGCGATAAACATCCAACATATCCTGAAAGAACAACAGTTTCATTATAATTCGGTTTTCGGTGTAATGAAAATTCGAACATACGTTATTTCAGAATAAAAATTCGAGTTTGTATATATCATAGGTTACCCAAATGGTTTGTAATAGGTTACCCAAACCAACGTTTCTCTTTACACTGCCTATGAAAAAACAAATATAGGCGATTTATGATCAGAAAAAATAGTTTCATTTCCTATATAACAATCGCAAAAACTTAAGAACTGGATAAATTTTGTATTTTTTTAAAGTCACATCATTAGTTTGATCCTGCAATATACCTAAATATGAGTTCCGAATAGTAACAGTTTTTTGACGGAGTAGAACAAAATAAGTAATATTTCTTCTTTAACGGTTGCCAAGCGCTATATTCAAACTAAACAAAACAGTTTACGACCCCTTGAACTTGAACTCTACGTGGATTACGAACTCATATTACGTTGTCGCTGTTGTACGAGAATACAAATACGTTAAAATGAACAACAATCCAATGGAATATCAGTTTTTTTTAAACCAAATTATGAAACATAATTATGACCCCTTTTAACTAGTAGAGCGTTCTCAACAACATATGAAATTTATTTTAGACTAATATTTTATATCAATGTAACTAATAAAATATTTTTTGAAAGTCAAACTGACAGAAATGTATTCGACCCTTTTACACTCAAGGGATTGTATCTGACTCTGTCGCGCATTGGTGCAGCGATAATGATATCTGTGTGTTTATTTTTAAAAGGTTGCGGCGAACATATGTTCGCGCGCTTTCGTTGCAATCGCACGTTTCTGCAACTTTCAAAAATAGATCGTTATGAAATTGAATTTCGGATAATTTAAGCGCGAAACGAAAACTCTGTGAAATCTTTTCAATACGCATGCGCTGTTTCTTTAAGAAATGTCAAAGTCAACATTCGCTTTGGAGATAGTGAATTTTGAATAAAATAATTATATTTTTGTAATAAAGTAGTGTTTTTAACGACATTTTTTAATAGAATATTTGTAAATATGTCGAAGGACTCTCCTATAGGCTTGGACACAATTTTGAAGCAGCTTGGATCCTTTGGGCGATATAATATTGTGAACTATGCGTTGTTGTTGTTTCCCATTTATTTGGCGGGCATGTACGGATCAGTTTTTGTCTTCGAAGCCTCGGATATAAATTACAGGTAAGTACAACACATATTCAATAAACATATTGACGAGAAATACAAAATTTCATTCAAGAATTCTTAATAAAACATCACGATATTTACGGGTGTACAAAAATGTATTTATCTTCGTCTGTAGATATTATAAGTTAAAACTATATTCACTTACATAAGTAACAATATAAAAAATGTACTTTAAAACTATATTGACATATTTTAAATTAAAATAAAGGTTATATTCAGATTCCGCCACGTTAGTACGTTCGTAATGCGCATGCGTGAATTAGAAGCCAAGGGTTCGCAAATGCAGGGGAGTTCAACAGACAAAAGACCCTTTAAAGGGATTAACCTAAATATTGAAGAGGGTGAGTTTTACCTAAATATTAAAATGAAATTGAATGAAAAACCAAACTAGCGTTTATTATAAAAAAAAAAATAAAGACAGGCCTGTCGCTTAACACAAGACGAACGATTTGTTCGTCCCGTAACTTGGTAACATAAAGTAGGCAATCTGCCTTACGAATCTTGATCGCTTTTCTTGTCAATTTCATTCAAACTAACTGGAACTGTGTAGTAGAGTCGAATCGAATGCAATAAAATGTAATTTTTCCGTCACTTTCTATCAACTTTGAAATATATATACTACTAATGGTATTTTACGCACCCGCCACGATCCCGACCCGACGCACACCCGACCCGCACCCGACCTGCACCCGCTCTCTGTTTCACGCTTTAATGATCATTCATAAGCATCAGAAACAACAGGGACACTCATAATGACTTTAACAAATTGTTTTATGTAACTGTTAAACGTACAAAATTATTGTCTAGATTAGAAAAGTGAATAAGAATTTTAAGAAAAAAGTGACTCTATCATGTCATAGACGGTCGGCCGTGATCATGGGATCAGTGGATCTACTCTTCGTCTTTTGGTCCGAAACAATGACTGTGAAATAAGTAACAGAGATGAAACGGTTGTCCGGTAACAATCCGGTATCTGGCCCATTTTTACTAAACCGGATAGTAGACCAATATCCGGCCGGATACCGGATATTTAAAACTGAGAAAATTCTTAATCATTACGCCAAATAAATTGATTTATTGATTAAAGATGACTGTAATAGAACCTACAGCAACTACAGGATCATTGACGATCTGTTTATTACTTATAACTGAAAGAACTACGAAGTTAAAGATAACGATATCTGTAAATGTTGTATACTCAAATTTCAATAAAGGCAAATGAAGACAGTTTTTCTGCATTAAGTGGTAAAAATTGGTCATATTTATTTTCAAAAATAGGTCCAACTTTGGCATTGTTTTTACTGTTAATATTTTCCTGTTATACATTTGTTTGTATTATCAAATAAATTAATCTTTTTTATAAAAACTAAGTGACCACAACAAATTAAATCATCAATTTTGAAAGTGCAATCATTCACTAATCAACCAATCACGGTGATGCGCGATGTAAACCGGTCGCGACATGCTTACGGCAGTGGGTCAGATATCCATCGACCGGATATCCGGCTATCCAGCCTAGGTGCTTGCCGGATATCCGGTATCCGGCCAAATCACTATTCGTTTCATCTCTAATACTCTACCAAATCAAAACAAAATGTCAAGTATGAAGATTCATTTGCATCATGCGTCTTTCAATTTGGTCGAGTATTACTTATTTGACAATAATTGCTTCGGACGGATGTCGGACGGAGAATGTGAGTAGACCTCCTGTAATGAGCCCGAGACGTAGGTTTGTTTGAAAAAATTAACACACGCGATTTAGATGAACAAAAAATTATTTCATTAGCGAAAACTTACGAATTCGAATAGTAATTTACTATTTTCCACCGCTAATTGCAATTTTTCCAACACATTGCATTTTATTACATTCCACCCCTATGTTGTGGTTATTCCCAGGAATCGCACAAAGCGTTTCGCTTCCACATTTATATGGCGAGCGGCTAGAGAGTGGAATTCCCTGCCTGCGGACGTATTCCCCGAACGTTAAAACTTGGACCTTTTCAAGGCGAGAGTGAATAGGCATTATTTAGGTGTGCATGCTACATCGTCACTTTCCATCAGGCGAGATGGAGGTCAAGGATGCGCACTTATTTTTAATAAAAAAAAATGAAGAAGAATCAATGTGACATTTTCAAGGTGTAATGTGCTGTTTTGACTTACGAATTTGATGAGGTACTATCAAGAGTGAAGGCCAACGGAAACGTCTTGAAAATAATTGAAACCAAAACGATGGGCTGTCTTAAGCGATGACGACTTCATTAAAAACCTGATTGAAGAAAAGTGAAAGGCAACCGTGGAAAAAGACGACCGATAGTACATAGGTTATGTTGATCGAACCAAAAGAAAAAGTGAAGCTACGTCATATTCAACGAATTAATAATATGAAGCGCAAATTTAAAAATGTAATCACTATTTATTAAAACAAAGATCAAACACTTTAAGAAATTGTCCCGGCTGGATTCGAACGGCGCCTTTGGGAGCTTTGGAACGAAACAACAGACTCGAATTTTTCGATGTGCTTGTTGCTGATCTTTGTTTTTGGTTTTTAGACTTTTTTCCTTTTGTATGAGAAATCCATAAAAGTTTTTCTTCACTCTGCCAAGATACGTTTACAGCTACCAGCGCCTGACTAGAGTAGAGATGTCGATAACTTAATATTACTATGCATACTCGTATATCAGTAAATGTAGAGTATCAAACATTTTATTGGTTTGAATTGTACAAGATATACTTTTTTTTATAAATAATTATTATTCTTTATTTTATTTTTTTATTGAATTGATATTCAATTATTTTTTGTGAAATTACTCCACTTTTTTGTTACAATTATTAATACAAAGATCGAACACTCAGAAAAAAATCCTTATTATTAATGAAACTATTTTTCCGGATTTAAATCGCGTATATTTGTTTCATGGTCAGTCAACCGTGACCATGGGACCTGTAAAGGGCCCGAAACGTCGGTTTGTTTGAAAAAACAAATATACGCGATTACAATCCGGAAAAATAGTTTCATTTCCTATGTGTAGCAATCGCGAAAACCTAAGAATTCCTTATTATTCTGTAGTTATTTATTATTAAAAGACATCACCACTTCTAATTTTTTATTGTAGTTATTAGTGGTTAACGGTGTTGGTGACACAATCATTATATATCTACTGTAAAAAAAATAGTTGTAACACTGTGTCTACTTTTTCTTGATCCAAATAAATGAAAAAAAAACTCAATACTTTAATTTTTTTTAACCACGATACAGTTATTCCCGTGATAAAATCAAGTTCCAACAATCCTTCTCGGGCACGAGCTGCAGTGGTCAATATGAGAGTCCCTGAACTGCCTCAGAATACACGTTGACCGATGTAGAGACAACATGGTGGAATAGGGATAGATCCACCTGACTCAAAACCATTGTACGTGCGGGTCCCCCACACAAAATATGTTTCACGTACTCTAGTGCCCACTGTGTCCGACCAGATAAAGACAGAGGTGGCTGCATACTGGACTAAGAAAATTTAACACCAGTTTGATGTTTTATTGGTTTATTTGAAAAACAAATGTTTTAGAAGCAAAAAACTTGTTTCATTCCATTCCAATTCCAGTTGTTTGAATATACGCCTGAATGACGTATTTTATGATATCTTGCAACTTACTGCATACTTTTTTTTTTTTTCAGAAAATCGCAAAACCTTGCTTTTATTATTTCATGTGTAGAATACGTCTGCAAAATTTTAAAAAGTCAAAATCATTCATTACATTTTTTTGCCAAAAATTTCTCGGATTCAAATATTCGCACACCGAGTCTTATAGAATTAATAGATTAATAGAATATTAGATAAAAGATAATAGAATTAATACAAAAATATTATTTTATTCTTATTGCTACTATTTTTATTTCGCAGATCTTTTTCGAAATGGCTGAGACATTTTGAAAAAGACATTAATTAAATTTTATCTTAGAATGTAATACCCAAAAAAGGTCTTGCTTAGTATGAACTCTCTTTGAACGCTTCACTATTATCACAACAGTATAGTATGAATACAAAGAGCCTTTATTATTAAAACTATACACGAACACATGTGCAAATATGCAAAGAAATGACGTTTGTCAATTGTTTAAATATTAATTAAAATACCTACTAAGAAATATAATATACCTACAAAACACACACCTGTAGTTACTTTGTGAGTGAACGGTGGCTTCTCAATTGAAGAAAGACGATTCGAATCACTATGGTGGCATGTAACTATGACATAATTGTCCATAAAAGTTGCAGTGCTACTCAGAGCCTTAAATTGCAAAGATCTGTGGGGCACTGCCACTGCGCCCGGCACCTTGAGATATAAATTGACAAGTCCCATGTGCCTGTCATTTCACCAGCACCCTTACCCTTCAAAACTGGAACACGGTAATGCTAACATTACTGCATGGCGGCAGAAATAGGTAAGGTGGCAGTACTTCACTACTAATTTAAAAATTATTCTATTAACATTACATTTTATTGTTATTGTTCCCATCTAATCAAAAAGTTTTACCTTCCACTACCAATATCTGCCTAGTGGGTCGCAACAACTTTGTCCTGATGACAACGAATATTCAGGCTGTTGTAGTTGGAAAGCATCCTGGATACCGTGGAATAGCTTATTAAATTTGTGCTGGAAAGGGGCACGTGCAAATGTTTGTAAATTGCCTCCTTTAGTTAGGACGTGAAACAGTATGTGTTATTCTCAATAATACAATCCAAGCAACTCGTAGAGGAAATCCTGTAGCGTTAGCACGACAGGGCGCCACTTGCGCGAGTGCGTCATAAAGCACGAGATAGTGCTATTCTCGCATAGAGATCTCGCACTTCATGTAGCTCTCGCGCTAGTCGCGCCCTGTCATGCTAGCCCTACTGGTCATTGATGCCTGTCCTATTTGACAGTGACAGTCAATTATAAGCTCGAAATATTTCAATCGTCGTTGGCATTGAAGGTCAATGGTCGTTGGTATTAAT